GTGCTGAAAACCCTGCACGGAAGCTCAAAAATTGCTTTCCATTCTCTAGGAAGGCAATCTGATGATGTGCATACACATAAAATAGGAATAGATTAAAAAATTAGATTTTTAAAATCAATATTGTGTTTAATTGACATTCCCTTCCCAACCCCCCCCAAAAAAGACCAGGAATATTCAAATGAGAATAACTGTGTTGTGATGAAACATCTATTGTACTTGGTAAGAATGTGTCATTATTTAGACAGGCCAACATTTTCTAACAATTTTCTGGATCTAAAGGGTGGGGACTTTTTGGTATATTAAATCATGTCAGAGTACAGTGCTACCTGGGACAAAGACTATGTTCAGTGACTTGGTTGCTAATGTAGAGGTCAAACCCCTTTATTTCTATAGGTAACCTTGTGCTCCCCAACAGGTAGGAGCTGGTGGGGAATATAGTTCTCCAATGCAACCTTGCCTGCAGTGACCATGAGATGAAGTTTGCAATCCTCAGGGCACTGAGGAGGAAACATAGCAACTCACTGCCCTGGACTTCAAGAGACCAGACTTTGGCCTCCTCAAGGACCTACTCAGTGCAGTCGCATAAGACAGAGCCCTGGAGGGCAGAGGGGCCCAAGAATGCTGCCTGAATTTCAAGGATCACCTCCTCCAAGCTCAGGAGCAACACAACAAGGATGAAATTGGGAAAAAATGCCAGGAGACTTCCATAGGTGGATAAGGAGTTGCTAAGCAAACTCAGAGTGAAAAAAGCTTTCAGGAGGTTGAAACGAGGGCAGGTGGCCTGGGAGGAATATAGGGCAATTGTACAGGAAGCTAGAGTCAAGGATAGGGAAGCAAAGGCCTAGCTGGCAAGAGATAGTAAGGATAATGGGAAGGGCTTCTATAGCTATGTTGCAAGCAAAAAAACCTCCTAGGGATAATATGGGCCCTCTCTGGAAGGAGATAGGAGGTCTGGCTACCCTGGATATGGAGAAGGCTGAGGTTCTCAATGACTTCTATGACTCAGCCTTCAACGGCAAGTGCTGCCCATGGTCATGCTGCCCAAGTTGAGAAAGGCAAATGCAGGGACTTGGAGCATGTAGCCCCTGAGCTTGCTGTAGGAGAGGATCAGGTTTGAAGCCACCTAAGGAGCCTAAGTACATAAGTCCATGGGACCTGATGTGATTCATCTGTGGGTCCTGAGGGAAGTGGCAGATGAAGTTGCTAAGCCACTATCCATATTTTAAATCCTGGCAGTCAGGTGAAAGTCCCTGAAAATGGGAATAAATGGAAATATAACTCCCATTTTATAAAAATGCAAAGCGGAAGACCCAGTGCCTCACACCTCTGTGCCAGGCAAGATCATGGAGCACATTCTCCTGGAAACTATGCTATGGCACATGGAAAACAAAGAGGTGATTGTTAACAACCGACATGGTGTGATAGATCTGGTGACCTTCTATGACCCAGCTACAACATTGGTGGGTGGGGCAGAGCGACTGACATCGTGTACCTGGTCTTACACAAAGCATTTGACACTATCCTGCACGACACCCTTGTCTCTAAATTGGAGAGACATGGATTTGATGGATGGACTACCCAGTGGATAAAGAACTGGCTGGCCTCACACAAATTGTTGTGGTCAATGGCTCATTGTCCATGTGGAGACCAGTGGTGCTCTTCAAGTGGCAGTGCTGGTGCCAGCACTGTTCAGTATCTTTACTGGTGACGTGCACAGTGGGATTGAATGCTCCCTCAGCAAGTTCACTGGTGACACCAAGCTGTGTGAGGCAGTTGATACACTGAAGGGAAAGGATGGGCCATCCAGAGGGACCCTGACAGGCTGGAGAGATGGAACAATGCAAACCCCTTGAAGTTCAACACAGCAAAGTGCAAGGTCCTCTACCCCTGGGTCATGGCAATCCCAGACACACCTATAGGTTGGGTGGGGAAGTGATTGAGAACAGCCCCAAGGAGAAGGACTTGGGGGTGATGGCTGATGAAAAACTCACCATGAGCTGCAGTGTGTGCCTGCAGACCAGAAAGCCAATCAAATCCTGGGCTGCGACAAAAGGAGTGTGGCTAGCAGGTCAAGGGAGGGGATTCTCCTCCTCTACTCTGTTCTTGTGAACCCCCCACCTGGAATACTGTGTGCAGTTCTGGTGTCCTCAATAGAAGAAGGACATGGAACTGTTGGAGTGGATCCATAGGAGGGCCAGAAACTTGGTAAAAGGACTGGAGCACCTTCCCTTATGAAGACAGGCTGAGGAAGTTGGGGCTGTTCAGCCTGGAGAAGAGAAGGTTGCATGGAGACCTCATAACAACCTTCCAGTATCTGAAGGGGCCTACAGAGAAACTGAACAGGGACTCACCATCAGGAACTGTAGGGATACGACAAGGAGTAATGGGTACAAAGTGAAAGAGGGGAAATTTAGAATAGATATTAGGAAGAATTTTTTTCCCGTGAGGGTGGTGAGATACTGGCAGAGGTAGTCCAGGAATGTTCTGGATGCTCCAACCCTGGCAGTGTTCAAAGCCAGGTTGGATAAGGCCTTGAGCAACCTGGTCTGGTGGGAGGTGTCCCTGCCCATGGCAGGGGGGTTGGGACTAGATGACCTTCAAGGTCTATTTCAACCCCTTAACATTCTATTATTCTATGATTACATTAGAGCATCTGCTCTTCAAGACACATCTTTGCAGACAGGCCTATGTTTCTATAACCTCAGCAATTAAAGAACCTTCTAGTTGACTGGTATCTCATGGCATTATCTTCATCTTTATTCCCTTTAGAATCCTATTTCCCTGGAGCTGCCTTTTTCCCCTCAACTGGCAATTTCATGAACTTGGCATGAGGTAGAGAATTCATTATCAGTCTTTAAAACAATTTAGCATGAAATCTGAAGTAGTAAATCAGTGCTTAAGGAATTAACTTTGAGCATGTCAAATATAAAAATTAATTGAACCAAACACAGAGTAGACAATATTGTGCCTTGCAGATATTTTTAATGCAGATAAGTTTATTACAGTAAGAATTAAGTCTTTTGCTGATCCCCATAATAATCTGCATCACAATCAAGAAAGTAACACAAGCATGAGTTGCAGCCAAAAGGAAAGATTTCCAATGTACTTCTAAAGAAACTTCCCCTTCTTTGCAGAAGTCCCTGGCACACACACTAAATCAATGCAACAATACAGCTGATAAAACTTGGCAACAAAACTATCAAGTGACATGAAAAAAACTTAAGCCTGCAAATTATTTATTGACACTAATAGGTTATTCTTCAGAGAATTTTCACCACAACTTTGTCTGGAAGATACAAGTGTTTTTCTAATGCAAATGTAATATATGAAAAAGAAAAGGGTAGGCCACCAACTGAAAGAAAACATTCATTGAATCAAAGTCAATACTTTCCTTTTAATATCTACAAGCCAACACTGAACTGACTTTATTCAAGAATGAACATGATGTACAAAATACGTATGCCTGTTATAAAAATATGTCTTTTTTTTTTTCCTGGTTATTGAGCTGAAAACATTTTGGCAAGTGCAAGATAGATTTGGCAAGCAAATTTAAGCCTCTATCGCAAGTAACAAAGTTCAAATAGTTTTGCAGTATATTTAGGAGTAATTGATAAAGTCACATTGGAAAGGTTAACCCCTAAAAAAATATCACTGCACTGCCATGTGCTTATGCACCCAAACGTCTTGATCTTCTGTCATCAGGAATCAGTACCTTTATTAGTGCATACTATCCAACCTAATTTGAACTATTCAATCAGATAAGTGATGTCTGACACTGAAATACAATTTAGGGAAGGCAAACTACCTCTATGGCCCTGTATTGTGTGTGTTGCTTATGAACAGAGAGAGAAGATTAGGTAGGTTCATACCTGCCTAATCTGGCTGGCAGGAGGTTGGAGTCAGGTGGGGGTTGGTCTCTTCTCCCAGACAATCAGCAGTAGGACAAGAGAGCACAGACTCAAGCTCTGCCAGGGGAGGTTTAAGTTGGATATTAAGAAGAAATACCTCTATGGCCCTGTATTGTGTGTGTTGCTTATGAACAGAGAGAGAAGATTAGGTAGGTTCATACCTGCCTAATCTGGCTGGCAGGAGGTTGGAGTCAGGTGGGGGTTGGTCTCTTCTCCCAGACAATCAGCAGTAGGACAAGAGAGCACAGACTCAAGCTCTGCCAGGGGAGGTTTAAGTTGGATATTAAGAAGAAATATTTTATGAAGAGAGTGATCAGGCATTGGAATGTGGGAGGTGGTGGATTCACCATCCCTGAGGGTTTTCAAGATGAAACTGGATGTGGCACTTGGTGCCATGGTCTAGTAACCACGGTAGGGTTGGACTCGATGATCCTTGAGGTCTTCTATGATTCTATGTTTAAATCAACCAGACAGTTACTGCAATGTGAAATCAGGGAAAAGATGGAAAAAGAATAAAGAATCGTTTATGACAACAGCGTACATGCATGTTCACATATAAAAATGGATCTGACTAATCTCAGTTATGTCTTATTTGTTTGGATATCTGGGCTGGTTTTTACCATGTAAAAAGTTAACTTAACCAGGATTCAAATAATTGACTTCTCTCAAATCACGAACAAGGAGCAAAACAAGGGACCATTTACAGAGATAATCTGAAAACAGTGCAAGATTAAAATGCAGTTTCACAACATGTGAAAGATACATGCTTTGGAACCTGAGCAAAAGGCATTTTACTGACTTAGTAAGTCACCCTGTATGTTGTTTTCATTGGCACCTTGTTCTGCCAGATTAGTATGTTGCTCTTAGCAACTTCCATGGCCCCTAAATATTTAGTACACAGAAACTGCCAACTACTCAGAAAGGTCTACTAAACTTTTCAGCTAATATTGCAGGCAGTTTGACATGCTGCTACTGGAAATGACCGCACAGCTTAAAATCAAGAAAAATTGTAGAAAGGAAAAGAAGCAGCCAAACATGTTGCTCTTCTTTTTAAATAGACTAAAGCAATTCCACAACACTTAGATACGGTACTACACTGGTTTACAGTCTCAAGGTCAGCTCTTTCAAAATAAATATACCGAACATTTACAACAAATGCCTCATGAATGCAAGCTCTCTCTTTATTTTATCAAGACCAGTTGGATAAAAACTAAAATAAAAACATAACTCTGAAGCAGCTAAGTCACAAGTTCTTTTTCAGAAGCAGGCATGACTTGGTGCCACAGCTAAATTTTTCACATCTGCAGTAAGCAATCTTTTTTTCTTTGAGCACCAAGCAGGCCACCATACAAAGCAACCTCACAAAGCATGCGGTCATCTACTCTGTTGATTTTGTATGAAATAATTATTTGTGCTTGCAGGTCCCAGACCTTTCAGAAATGGGTATGAACGTTAGATGATTGAACACATTAATGTCAACTCATTTATTTCTAAATTACTTGAATGAAGAAATGACGAAAGACTAAAAAGCAACAGAATGTTGCGCATTAGTATTTGTGAGGAATGAGGATAGCTAAGGTTGGTGCTTTAACTTGCCTTAAAACAAACAAAAAGCTAAAACCAATCCTAAACAGCTCTATGTCCATGACACTGGTAGAGGCCAACGCGTGCATGCCACTGTAAGGCACAGTCGGACCAATCTGATAAATGGCATCATCAGAGCAGAACAGCAACTTTTCACTGGACTAATCACGAAGGGTGAACAATGAGCCATCACTTCTCTTGTCATGAGCACAGAAAGCAGTCACCAAGGCAAAAGAGGACACAGGAAAGAAGATACAGCAACTCACATAAACCTGAAAGACAGAAAACACATATTAAACCAAGTTCTGAGCATTCTGAGCAACCATTTTCCAACAGTAACACGGCTATTCATTGATTTAACACCACACATATAATGGAATCATTGCAAAAATGGTATCCTAATCATATCACAGAAGTCTTCTGAGATTTGTATGACAACTAACTTCATTTGCAAACATTAGTTTGCAACACCATTTTTGGTTAAAACAGGTTTAAGGACATACTGATAGAGTCAGAACAATCTCTTGTCCATTGTGTAAAGAAATTAACATGCTTACATGGTATTTAATTTCTTACTCAGAAATGGGGTTTAAAATTGGTCATCATAAATACACAGATTTTTATAGGGAGCTAATTATGCAGTAGTGTGATTATTCTTCCTACTACCCTAACAGTGCCTAAAAAGTAGAGTGTAATACTCACAGAATAGGTTTACCCAAGGTTATTCTGCCTTCGTATCTACAAGCTGCATCTGAACATTAGCAGACATGCCACCTCCATAGCCTCCCTTAGATTGCATCTGGTTCTGAATTGAGCTGACCTGGAAACAGAGAGGAAAAGGGAGGCAGAAGAAAGAAGAAAGACAGTTAGCAAGCTGTGGCATTTTCTTGCTTAAAATTTTATTTCTTCTTTAGGTTTAATTTTCAAGTGCTCCTTTGCCAGTAAAGCTACATTACTTTTGCATGAGAACATGCAGCAAAGGCTTGCTGGAATTTCCACTTTTGCACGTAGCTCAGGAGGAAAGATGGAAGAACTGGTGCTGAGGCAGAAGGTTTTCGTCTCTCCCAGGGAAAACTGGCTGCTTCAGGCTTTCATTGACCCACTCAATTAATAAAAAAAAGTAAAATAAAGAAATCAAATATCTTACTGGCATCGACTCCACCTGACAAATTGTAATTTATTTTGTTGTATAGAAAACGTGCTTTGGCAAGTTGATAAAACAGAGAAGTTGATAGCATTAAGTTAAAAATAAAACAGACAGCTTAGAAGTATCTGTATATTATCTGCACTGTATGGCTGATTTCAGATGATTAAAATAGGACTAAACCAGGACTTCCTAAATCAAAATGGAGCTTTTGATTTGTGGAAAGTTTTTATCTATTTACGTAAGGGCATACGAGGCTTTCCTTAATTGCTGCTGCTCCTTCAAGTGGCAGGGCATCGACTGGTTAAATCATGGTCACTCCGAATTTCCCTGAAAATAGCTTATTTGAAGGTATTTTCAGCCTGATGCAAATAAATACGTAACGATACACCCTTCAAGCCCTGCCACCCCCAAGACATGCACATCCCACTACGGCTTTCACTGCTTTTGTCAACAAAAGAAAAGGAATCCATAGTTCTTTCCTGCTTGTGTCGCATGAGTCAAAATAATCATCTCCAAGTGCCTGCAGGAAGACAACGAGAACCTTAAAGGTTTGGCCCTTTTCTCTCTGCACCTCAGAGCATACATAACAACTACACAATAAGCAGAAAATAACATTCATTCAAGGCTAAGCCTACAGGGCACCACTTGCAATTATTTCACGTACGGTCCTCCCCAGAGACCTAAAAACATCACTGGATAGCTGTTTTAAAACAGTACAGGAGAACGATTTCCAAGTAGCTTGTATGATATTTTCCTTATCTACAAAGACGAAAGAAGTACATTTTTTACCAATAGCAAAGCAAAACACATGTACACATACAAAATTAATCAGTGAAACTCTTTCTTCCACACAGTCTTTCAAGCCTGTGTGCCAAAAGAGCCTGTTTTTTTTATCTTTTCTTCAACAGTATGGCACATTGCAATGCTATGCAAAAGATAGTGTTTCGTGTACTTAAGCAGTGCAATGCAAAACCATTTTCTATCTTGGCCTTTTGCTAAAATTAATGATTGAGCTGCAGCAAAGCAATACTACCATCTCATTTTTCTTAATGGAAAAGTGTTCAGAGCCAATATTCTAGTGCATCTGACATCAGAGACTATAAACTCAGTAGGGAAGTGTGGAGAAGTGCAACCACACTCATGGGGATGTCACCAAAATGCTCATCTTCTTCACCAAGCATTTTCTGTTGCCCATTGGAACAAAAGGAGTTTGAGTTCAATATTTTTCCCTCAGAAAATAATGGATCTACGTGTAAATGTATTCACAGGAGTGACTTTCAAGGATGGTGTTACTTTCATCTGAATGAACCTTGCCTTCAGTGAAAAACAAAACCTCCAGGTCATGTCACCTTTCAGCCTGACAATTTGCCTACAGAACATTAAAATTCTGAAGTGCAACAAACAGATACAAATTGCAAGGTTAAAATGTAAATTTTTACGAGCACTTTTTCTAAATATTAGAATAATTTCCTTTACCTGAGTCACACACATAGATGTTTGTGCAAGTGGGTAAGGAAGAATCCATCTAAAATGAAGAGGCTGTTGCACTTAAAGCAGAGAATGCGACATATTAAATGTGACTGCAGTAACAGTTTGGTGGCTGGTTGGTCCATCAAAACTTACGAGGGAAACACAGAATGTTAAAAATGCTGAGCAAAAGGCAGGTCTAACAGCTGCAGGCTTATAAGCACCCTCCTTCTGAGGCAGTTTGAGCTACAAAAACAAGCACCATGAAATGTAGTCAATTTTTTTCTTTCCCAAAGATCCCATTGCCTTTCTTTGATGATATATAACAGCAAGGTTCTTCTCTCTGATGTCTAATTTGGATAGGATTTTGGAAGGGAAAAAGGATTTTACCAATTAAAGATCATACAAACTGTTGTGCTGCAAATCTATTTCACTAATTTCCTTCTTTTCTTCCCCTCACTCAGAATTAGGAAATAGCATAGATGGACCTTGAGAAAGAAAACAACGGGAGACTGCATGAAATACATGAAATCAAAGACTAAACTGAAGAATATGAAACAGAAGAAGAAAGTAAGAGATTTCACCATGGAATATGAAGGTAAAATAGGGAAAGGGATAGGAATGAAAAAGAAACAGTGCACTGAGGGTTCCTGCTGTTTTAAGTACACTTTTGACAAAGGAGCAAGGCACTCTACAGAGCAGGCAAACAAAAAAGCAAAGTATTTCAGTAGTCAGAAAACTACTCACACAGAATTGTAGGAACATGTAATGAAAAATAATGCTGATGAAAGAAAGGCACAGAGCAGACAGAAAGTGGATGAAGAACCAAATTTATATGGGAAAATGTACTAAGGTGTTCTAGGTATTCTATCAAGGTGTTCGGAAAGGAGAAAGTATAAGGAGGTTCCTGAAGGAGTACAATGCCCATACTATAAAAGAAATTATGCAGCAGAAAAACATGTGGAGATTAACATCATAATCTTGGAATTTATGCTGCAAAGAATGAACACAGAGAGTACCACACAAGCGGCAGAAAATAGGCAGTGAAAAAATAGAGATTTGAACCTTTGAAAAGAGAGGAGGGGGGAAAATTATTATTTTTTGCATACAGATAATTTCCATCTGGGATCAGAAAAATCACTCTGGCCACTGATGCAGCACATTATCCAAATGGAAAAGAAGTGAGAAACAGCTAGTTGAGAGCATTCAAAATGAAATGGTCTATGTAGAGAGACAATAATAATTACCTACTATCTGGAGAAAAATTGGATCTTATGCAAGGCAAAGGTGAGGGTTTTTTTGAGGGCAAGCAGGGGGACAGTCTGAGGTGCAAGAACAAAGCTTCAGGCTTGAGGCCTCAAACCTCACATAAGACAGCTCAGCTGAGAGAATGAGGAAGGTTCCCACAGGAGGGATAACAAATATTTAGAATGCAAAAGCCATCCTTAAAAAAGAAAACCGCTCACTTTATTTTTACTTCATTATTTCAATTTATAATGGCTTTAAATATTAATGTAATATATTTAGTTAAATAAGTAATTAGTTTAACTAAATTTTATCAGTTGAATCTGTGTTTGGCCACTTAACTTGCTTACAGATGTTCTAGCACAAATCACTTCCATTACACTATGTTGTTTCTGGTAAAATGTAGTATACTGTTTGTCATGTCAAATTTTCTAGCTGCCCTTCCCCATTACATGCTCAGTTACAAAAATTTTTGTCTGATGTCAGTAAGATCAATTTAAACTAGTTGAAACTACAAATGATCTCACTTGCCTACATTAAAACGCTTTCCTTTACAGCTCTCTATTCTGATACCTCTGACAGAAATTGTTCTTCTGCTCTGTCAACAAGGACTGTTCATCTTTCCTTTAAAGAGGATTATTAAAGTCACGAAGTATTTTTCATCATTATCTACATGCAACACATACAACTATATTTTGTATTACTGACCTTAAAAATAGATTGGCATTTCATAGAAATTTGAAGCTGTACAAAATAAATCTAGTCCCATAAGCTGATTTTAATCATCTGTCTTAGTCTCTGTTTGTTACTTTCAGAGAGATAAAAATATTTTATTGTTCCTATCATCTACAGGAAGCCACAAAACCTTACCTGTGACATTGCATGCTCTGGAAATAATTCATACTGCATATAGGACTACAAGTATAGAAAAACCTCAAAAAGAACACTGAGAAACATTTGCATGCACCATAAACCTTGGTAAATTAGAGTATTCATGAACTGTATTTAAAACAGCTTAAAGCATTTAAGGTAAAAAATCTTGTCAATTTTGGTTTACACATGCCATGAGAGTGAAATTTTAATGTAAAAAATATTCTGTACAATTTATACAGCATCTAAAATGCATTGTCAATAAATATAAAAAAATACATTCCCTATTCTTGAATGTAAGTGTTTAGGGCTTGAAACTAAAATGATAGCAGGCTGTTCTTCAGTTTTATATAGATTCTTATCGTTGAAACACTCACTGTTTCAACCACAATACATATACACAGTGTTACTGTATTCTGTATAAAATGAAATTGAGTTCATCCACTCATGCTTACTGAATTCATTCCACTGAATAGGTCTCCTGATCCTACATGAGCTGTGTGAACAAAGTTTGTTGGCTCCCCAATCATGCTTCGATCAATCCGCCGCCGTCTTTTCTGAAAGGAAAGTAAAGAAAACATCTGAGATTCACTGAAAAGGCAAAACCAATGTATGTCATAAATGCAGAAGTTAATTGTCTATAGGATACTGCATACACTGTAAGATATTTCCACAGAGTCAAAAAGCAGAGACCAAATTCTGAGGTTAACCAAGATGCTGTTAATACTGCCCTTTGCTTTCACTTGAAGGATGTATAGCAAATCATTAGACAAGCATTGACACCACTCCTAACATTTAGGGCAACAAAACATTTGTAAATAACCTTATTAAATTCAACAATTTATTAACCCATATTTGCAATGTTTCATGGAGTAACTTCCACTTGTATTTGTATTTAAATCATGGTGGGACAGATCAAATTTGAGCTTTAGTCATCCAAAACTACAATTAAGAACATTAAAATTGTCTATGAAACCACCGACTTACAGATTTTCTGATTTGCATGCCATAGAAACTTATGTCACTATTCATAATACACTTCATGGTGATGTTCAGATGAGTGCCTTGAGCTTGATCAGGGTTATTCTGAGACACATCTTTACTGGACCTTAAACCCCATATACTCATGCTAACTTCCAGTCTGCATGGCTGTAGAGTGTGAGCTGAAGGGGTGGAGTGGGGTAGTAAGGCAGAATGCCAGATTAGGGACTCTGTTCTGACTCCTGTACATGAGACAGAAGATGAGAATTGCTTAAGCTCTGCTTCCCATTTCTCAGTCATAGCCTCATTTTTTATTAATGTAATAACACGCAAATAAAAAATTAGAGACAGTAAAGACTTCCTCCAGTCAAAGCCACATTGGTTTCCTGCCTCCAGCTAAGCACTGTACCTAAAGCAACAAAACAAGAAAACCCTGTCCTGGTTTGTTAGGTGAGAGCCAGGGTGCCTACACAGAGCAATCTATGCAGTGCGTGGTCACCACATGCCCATATTCTGAAAAATGCCTGGAATTGGAAAAAAATTAAATAGCCATGAAGCACAGTATCAATATCTCCATTTAAGGTGTGTTGTGCAAAATAAAGTGTAACAGCGAAGAAACTAATTGAGATCAAGTAAAACCTTCCCATCATCCTTAGATCCACTCAGTCTCATATTTACCGGTTTCCATTTCTAACCTGCAATGAGATCATAAGACCACCCAGACTCGAGACACGAAGGTACGTAGCTCATGAGTGGGTAGCTGCTATTGAAACATAGCTACAGATTTCATCTTTGTGAATCAGAACCCACAACTATGAGAATACATCATGGGGTTTAGCTGGCAAATACAAAACACATTTAATCCTGTTCTGTACCTTTTCCCCATTACAAAACCTGGATTTCAGTAACTTATTGCATCATATGAAGCACTGAGATGAGGGGAGACAGATAAAACTTTCCCATAGAAACAGCAAACTACAATGACCTGATCTATGCCAAAACTATTGGTGAATTCTCTAATTC